AAAGTACAAAACAGTAGTTTAAAATGTATATATTCATTCATTTCCTCAATATATACCTGCTGTGTGTCTGGCAATGGAATATATCCTAGAGATACAGACTAAGACATGGTCTAGTGGAAGATAGAAACAGTTTCTAGCAATTATAATGTAATAAAGGGTATGATAAAAAAAAAAAAGTACAGAATGATACAGGAGTGCAGAGTAGGAGGATCAGGGAAGGATCCTAGAAGTTAGCTGTGAAAATGAGAGCTGAAAGGTGATTGATTGAGTCATCCAGGATGCAGAGAGTGAGCAGGAAGAAAAGTGAAATAGCTCCGTCCCAGGTTTATGGAATCTGTTTCCTCACTGAGGGAAGACAAATTAGTTAAGGTATCGACTCAGGTTAAAGTGATTATTGTCATTTCTGTCACAGCCTAATGTTATACTAGGGAGAAAAAAGTGCTGTAGACACAGTTATTCCACATTAGAAATAATTTAGTTGTAACTTTAATATTTCTAGAAATACGTAACATTGATCAAGGGCATCAGTTCGTAAATTCTTAATTTTGACAAGTTCAAAGGAAGAGAATGGCAAGACCGCCCAACTCTTAAGCGTTTCCACCTACCCTTCTCTATGAAGAAAATTAGACACACTTTCCTGTCCTTTAGGAACTGCGTGAGCCATTTGCTAGATTATCCCTGATTTCCCATCCCTCTGCTATCATTGCTCTCTTGGCAGAGCCTGATGAGCTGTAAGCTATGGCTAAAGTGTTTCTACTTTGCACATTTTATTTAAAGTTGACTCAACCAGTAAATTCTGGAGGCTTTAAAAAACTTCTACTTTGCAAACAAATTGTTCTTTCAGCAAAGTGTAACATTTAAGTTTATGGGCTCTGGTGTCAGACAGGCCTAGGTTCAGGTTCTAATTGCTACATTTTACCTGTGAGACCTCAGACAATTTATCTAAAGAAAACCTAAATAAAAAGTACTTGCTCAGGGTAGCATGGGGTCAGTGTTCAATAAATATTAGCTGTTGTTGTCATTGTTATTGTTTAATTAATTGTTATTGCTTATCGTGAATAGATGTTAAATTTTGTTGAATTTTATCAAATGCCTTTCCTGCATCTATTG